ATATGTGGGATCCAAACCGGGGCCCTCTGGCATCCCAAGCGAGTTCTTAACCATCGCGCCACTCGGCCGGCCCAGGGGGTTCTGCATTTTAAACAGCCCATTGCATGTTTGGAGAACCCCACTTTGAGAAACCCTGGTGGGCATTCGAAGGTGAGCCATACATTCCAGAAGCATCTACATGTACCTCTTAGGTCTTCCTGGATGGTCTCTGTTCCTTCCCTCCCCTCCTGTGTGTCCATCACTGGGAGACCCTGCACAGCCTCTAACAAATTCACCCCAAACAGCCTAACTGTTCAGGAAAGATCCAGAAACTTCCTGGTTTGGAACCACTAGTAGAGTGGGGAAGGAAAAAAAAAGAATAACTGTCAACATCTTACCCTAGAAGCCGGTGGCTTCTTTGTGTGACTTGATTAGAAGTGTGTCATGATAATTACTGCTCCATCCCACATGGTTTAGAAATAGGATATTTCTGAATATTACTGTCAGAGGTGCATTGAGAAAAAAAAAAGGCAATTAAACACGGATTTAGCATAAGTCGTGACTTGGAAAGGGCTTCCAAGAGTAGATTGAGCCTGAGATGGAAGACAGTGGCTGCCACTGCAGATGGAGTTATGAGGGCTCTGTTTTCTCCATCTTCACACGCTTAGCATGTAATTCCTGGGGGCTAGATGGCAAACCCCACCCAGGTTAAGTCCCAGGAAGCAACGAGGAAGAAACAAAGCGTGCCTCTCTCTTTCACAGAAGCAAGGTTCTCAGCCACAGGCGATTTTGCTCCCCGGGGAACATTGGGCAATGTCGGGACATCTGTGGTTGTCACGACTAGGGGTGTTCCTGGCATGGAGTGGGTGGGGGCAAGGATGCTGCTCAGCACTCCACGGTGCCCAGGACATCCCCCACAGATATGATCCAGCCCCAGTGTCAGCAGTGTCAACACTGAGAACCCCAACCTGCAGTATGACCAGCACACAGCCTGAGACAAATGTGTCAAACAAATGTCCCACGCCATTTTGCACTAGCAAAAAGAATTCATTCACTGGCTCTAGAGGGCCCCTGTATCTTTGAAGCAAATATTTCACCCCAACCTGGGTAACTTGAAAACCCCAAACTGAGTCACGCCTCCCTTTTGCAAAATCGATGACTTCAAAGTTGGAGCAAAGGCCAAAACACTCCGGTGTGGACCTCATAGATGAAAAGCTCAGGCCACCAGGTGGCGTGCCAGCAGCACCACAGCCTACCCGCGGCCTCCATCCCTGTTGGGGCAGCATCAGGACCAGAGGGAATGAGGCCGTATCTAATCATGAAACCACCTGAGTTTGGGCCTAGAAATAGCTCCAGTTCTAGAGACAAGCATTTTGCTTTTAGAGCTGGTTCTCAGAAGTGTAGGTTCTCCCAACCAGGGACATTCTGCTGGGCGCTGTGCTGCGATGGGGCCACTATCCTGAGTTCCGTGATGCAATACAGAGTCAGATAATATGAATCCTTTCAGCAGTGAGGTTGGAGGGTGCAAACCACAAATTCTGCTCAGCTCATGGCTGTTCCCAGGTCTGTAAGGTCAGGTAGACTTGGGGAAGTCCATTCTGTATTCTCTCTTTTATTATTGTGCTTCTTAAACTTATCAAAGTATAATATACATACACAAAAGTGCACACATTATTAGCAAACAGCTCAATGAATTTTCACAAAGGGAACTCGCCCATGTCATTGGAACCCAGAACAAGAACAGAACCCGACCAGCCCCCACCCCCACCCTGTCACGCCCCTTCCACTCATTACCACCCCGAAGAGTTGCACTGCCCCAGCATTCAATGCCATGGGTTGGTTTTACCTGTTTTTGAAATGTATACAAATGGAATCTACGAGGTCTGACAATTAAATTTGCAAACTTGTTGCAATGATGTTGCTAACCTTTTAATATCAGAGAGATTATTCATTATGAATTTGTACCAACTGGATAAACAGTTAACCAAATTTACTGTTTAGAAGTACTGAAAAGGCTGCATGAAAAAGTTAGACGACCTGAACTTTTGCCAACAATTCATGGCTCTTGACTCATGACAATGCACCAGCTCACACGGCACTGTCTGAGGGAGGTTTTAGCCAGTAAACAAATAGCTGTATTGGAACACCTTCCATCCTTACCTGATCTGGCCCCAAATGACTTCTTTCTTTACCTGAAGCTAAAGAAAATATTGAAAGGAAGATATTTTT